CACCACCATCCTCAGAGATGAGAAACGGAGGGCCAGGCATGGTGGCAGTGGTAAAGCTTAGGGAATATTCTTCTCTGTACTACCGCCAAGGCTTCTGGCTAAACATGCAAATGGGAGTAAACAAAGCAACCAAATAGTGGTGATTGTTAACAAATGAGTTGAACTGAAAGAGTGATGATATCTCTATCCTAGAGCCTCCTTTGCTTTGAATTCCTTATAATTTATGGAGTGTAGCCATGTGTTAGGCATTGAGCTAAGTGTTTCATATTCAAAGATAAAATGAAAAATTCTTTACATCAAGAAACATCATGTGGCGAAATAAATGGCCAACTAAAAAAGACTATTTAGAATTCGGTGTGCTAGAGGAATTCACAGCTGTGGAAACAGATTCCTCTCACCCAAATTTGGCTGGAGGATAGGAGTTCAGTAGGTTTCAAGAGTCACTGATTTGTGGGCGGAACCACAAAGAGTAACTCGGGTCAGCTAAGCTGGGAAGGGAGTGGGAAAGCTTTTCTGGCAGAGGGATGAGCTGGTGCAAAGGGATGAAGCTCGGGGAAAAGGCTGGGTTGGGCAATCTTCACCAGTTGTGTGTGGCCCGGAGATGTGAGTGCTTTTTTAAGGAGAGGCTGGACGGATAAAAGACTCTTGTCTTTACCTGGTAAATGGTTCAGACTTGATCCTAAAGTTTGAAGAAGCCTTCAGAGGATTTTAGGCAGCATAGGGATGGGGTCAGATGGATATTTTAAAATAAGTATTTTTGACTGCTGTGTGAGAAACAGGGTAAAACAGTATGTGAATTAGAGAGAGTGTTTATGGGATTATTTCAGTAATTCAAGGTGAGGACATTATGCTGGCAGGGACAGTTTGAGGGGAGAATATTAATTCAAGAAACATGAAAGAAGCAGAAGCAACAGGTGCTGGCGACACTTTGTTGTAAGGCACTAAGGTTGATGCCAAGTTCAGAGACTGATTATCAGATCCCACTTTTGGAACACAGCACAGTTCTTCACCCAGATTTCTTAGAGACGTTAGCTGTTTCCACTTTTCACTTCCCATCATAGTATCACTTCTTTATAGTGTCAAGAAGCCCAAACGATTAGAATATATGTATATGTGTGTGTGTGTGTGTGTGTATGTATGTATGTATGTATATATGTATGTATGTATATATATGTATATTTTTTATTGATTTTTCACAGAGAGTAAAGGAGAGGGATAGAGAGCTATGAACATCGATGAGAGAGAAACATTGATCAGCTACCTCCTGCATAGCCCTTACTGGGGATGTGCCCGCAACCAGGGTACATGCCCTTGATGGGAATCGAACCTGGGACCCTTCAGTCTGCAGGCGGATGCTCTATCCACTGAGCCAAACCAGTTTCAGCTAGAATAAATATATTTCATAGGCAATATGATTTCAAAGACAAAACAACATTTAACAACTTATGAGATAACTCATTTCACAAATTTGCCTGATATTACTGAAACGTGGGGTTCAGGATACAGACTTCTTGTGGGTTCTTGTCCCACAAAGATGAAGAATAAATTCATGGACTAACATATTTCTTTAATAAAAATGTAAAAGTTTATTGGAAGCATATACAAATTCCATCTGGGCAGAGGTGTCTCCAAAGGAGACTCTTTTTAATTGGATTTTTCATTAATTTAGGGCCCCCATATTCTCCTCATTGATTATTTTGTTACATAATATCAGTTTCAAAAGCCAAAGCCCATGTGGTACCCCCTTTTTTTTCTACCCCTATCTTATAACTTTTCTCTATCGCCTGTGAAAATCTGTTTTCCTCTTATTGCCATTTGTTGGCATTTTTTCTATCCTCTGTGAAAGTTTGCTTCCTCTTTCCCCATACTCTGTGGCTTTTCATTATCTTCTCTCATTGTATGTCTTCCTCTCCCCTTATCCTGTGGAATCTTTTTTAGTCTCTGAATGTATGCCTTCTGGTGGCTCCAAGCCCTCACCTAATGCATTCCTCCCTTATGGACTTGCTTTCTTCCTAAAATTCCCTAAACCTGCTTATTTTATCCTAAAAATCCTTTCATTACTTTACAAAAGAGCCAGTTGCCTTCCAGTTTCCCTCCCTTCCCCCACACTAGTACTCACAGCTTATAAGTCTGTTGGAGGACACCCAGGTGCAAGATGAAGAAAAGGCTTATATCATCAATGAAATATTCACGTTTCAGTGAAGAGCCAAAGTTGGTCAGATATTGGATTAAAAGGAAACTAGAGGCCCAGTGCATGACACTCGGGCCGGGCTGAGGGACTTCTCCCCAGCACGACATTTGTGCATCGGGGAGAAGTCCCTCAGCCCGGCCTGTGCCCTCTCCCAGTTGGACATCCTCCAGGGGTCCTTAGTGCTACTGCAGAGGCTCCTGCCACCACTGTTGCACTCGCCAGCCGTGAGCCCGGCTCCTGGCTGAGCAGTGCTCCCCCTATGGGAGTGCACTGACCACCAGGGGGCAGCTCCTGCATTGAGCGTCTGCCCCATGGTGGTCTGTGTGTGTCATAGTGACCGGTCATTGCGCTATTTGGTCAATTTGCATATTAGGGTTTTATTATATAGGATAATCTTTTGTTTCATAGTGTTAGCATTTGAAATTGCATCAGTTTTTTTCTAGTGGTCTTCACCAGTTAATTTTTGTTTTTAATGAAAGGTGTTTGCAAAAGCATTTCTCCTTTAGTTGGGGAACCAAGTCCCTGCCTGTGGCTATGGTCTGAGCTTCATAGAATTCCAAGGCCAGAGAGTAGCCGACCTAAACAGTGGCTCCCTGAACTCATAAAAACAGAGTAGAATGGTCTTTTTTTTTTTTTTTTAATATATTTTATTGATTTTCCACAGAGAGGAAGGGAGAGGGATAGAGAGAGTTAGAAACATCGATGAGAGAGAGTCATCGATCAGCTGCCTCTTGCAAACCCCCTACTGGGGATATGCCCGCAACCAAGGTACATGCCCTTGACCAGAATTGAACCCGGGACCCTTCAGTCCGCAGATTGATGCTCCACCACTGAGCCAAACCTGTTTCGGCTAGAATGATCTTTATCAGGAGTTGGGGAGTAGAAGAAATGAGGACATGGTGGCCAAAGGGTACAAAGTTCTAGTTACAAGGTGAATAAGTTCTGAGACTTGTACAGCATGGTGATTATAGTTAACAAAATTGTATTGTATAATTGAAGGTTGCTAAGAGAGTAGATCTTAAATGTTTAAGACCCCCCCCCCCCCAAATAAATGGTAACTATGAAGTGATATATGTGGTAACTATTCTCTTCATCATTTGATAATATCCTTACTAATAAAGGCCTAAGTAGTCATCATGCATGATGCCCCCACGCCATCACAAGATGGCTGTGCACACAGCGGGTGCACACAGGTAAGCAGGGCTGGGCTTGACAATCTGTGTGCAGCATGGAGCCTGCCTGGGGGTCCTGGCTCCATGAGGCAAGGCCTACTTGGGGTTCCCCCAGCTCCACATGGAGAGACCTGCCGGGGGGGTCCCCAGCTCTGTGTGGCAAGGCCTGCCTGAGAGTCCTGGGGTCCCAACTCCTGACTCCATGTGTTGCAGAGGCAGGACCCCTAGTGCAAGGCAATCCATTGAGAAGCTCCAGATGGGTGAAGCCTATGTCTTTTGGGCTCCCATACTATGATAGGGCACAGGCCAGGCTGGGGGACACCCCCCTGAGTGCACGAATTTCATGCACCAGGCCTCTAGTCTATATTATAAAAGCCTAAGCGACTTTTATGATTGGAACGACTGGTCGACCAGTCACCATGACTGGCACTGACCATCAGGGGGCAGACGCTCAACACAGGAGCTGCCCCTGATAGTCAGTGTCCACCTCCTGTGGACAACCAATGTCCTCTGGTCCCTCCCCATAGCCAGCTGGCAAACCTCCCACAGCTACTTCCTCCACCCCCCGTCCCCCTAGCTGTCCCAGCCCCAGTGAGTCCCCATCAGGGGCAGGGCTGGCTAGCCAACCTTCCGGGGCCTTTTCGTTCAGCTGGTCCCAGCTGCATTCCCTCCTTCCCAGCTGGTTGCCCAATCAGCCCCTCCCCCTGCCAGCCAACCGCCCGTGTCCCCAGGCCAAGGGACCCTACCCATTCACCAGTTCCTGCACTGGGCCTCTAGTATCTATAGATATAAAACCCTAATATGCAAATAGACTGAATGGTGGAACCGCTGGTTTCTATGATGTGCACTGACCACCGGGGGGCACATGCGGAACATGGCAGGTGTCAGCCAAGGCAGGAAGGTGGAGCAAGAGAGCAGGAGCACCAGACCAAGGTGGAGCACTGTTCACTGTAATCAGGGCGAGCTTCTGGTGGTTACTGAAAATTCTTGGCTCCCGTAGGTCATGGTCCCACCCGGCACAAGTGGGTGCAGGCCCCACTTGTTCTTCAGGGCTTCTCCACCTCTCGTTGCTCCGGAGGGGTGATTGGGCCAGCAGCCACCTCTTGCACCCGCGGCTGGCACAGACCCCAGTCGCACCTGCAGCCAGCTCTTGCACCCTCCAATAGTGCCAGCCCCACTCACATCTGCTGCTGGTTCCGGCCCCAATTGCTCCACGCAATCAATGGGTGTAAATGGGGCCGGCATTACCAGCGCATGGGAGTGGGAGTGATGTGAGCGGGGCTGCTGGCAGACAAGGGACCGGGGCTGTGGTGGGAGGGGCTGGTCAGGGTGCGGAGTTTGGGCTGAGACCTGGCCCTGTGCCCACCACAGCCTGGAGACCCATAATTCCTTTTAAGGTGCACAAATTTGTGCACTGGGCCCCTAGTGGTGTGTGTGTGTGTGTGTGTGTGTGTGTGTGTGTATGTAATTGAGTTGTATCTCTTAAACTTATACAATGTTATGTATGTCAGGTATATATCTCTGAAGCTGGGGAAAACATTTAAGTATAATAAATGAATATATATTTTTAAAGTAACTCTTTACTAAATTTAGTGTGTGACATATTTCCAAAATATTGTTTTACCCTTTCTTTTCAGGATGAGCGGAAACTCCAGGACAGTTTAAGGCAAGGGGCCACAGTAATTACCACACTCATCAAAGAGAGAAATTCTGCATTCATTGGTCAGCTACTGGTAGCATGAAGGACACAGAGAAAATTGCCTCTGAGTTTATAGAAACGTTTATCTAAGTCCTTCTTTCCTGGTTCCCCTCCCTGTTGTGTGTGGTAGCATATTTAAGTTGTCTTTTATGTCTCATAATTTGTAGGATATGATTCTTGGATTATAAATGTGGATTAATGTTTTTTATTTGTGAAATAAAAATTTACTTTGATGCATATTATATATAAATTGCCCAAATAGAAAGGGATAGATAAGTGGAAAATAATAGCCTTCATGTAATCTTTTTACAAAAGCAGAAAGATCAATAGAAACAATCATGTGTGAGCTAATCCACCAAGGAATGAGAATTTAGAAATCTTGAACTATTCTCTCTGTGTTAATTAGCAAATCACACTGTAATGAAACTAAAAGATAAGGTTTAGAATTATATTTTTTTACTTCAAAATTATCCTCTTACCATTAGATATTATGTTCTAATTTTCCATGCCTTAAAAAAAAAACAAGCACATTAAAAACAAAACAACAAGAGATTGTAGGAATTCTTTAAATATATTCACTATTGGCCCTCAACATTACTCACAATTCCTAAATGAGATGTAAAATACTCTTTGGATTACATAATTTTTACTAATTTTAAAAGGTCTCTGATCTTTCTGAATGCATTTAAGAGAAGACAGGAAAGCTTCATAAAAGTGAAGTTATTTTAGCGAAGCCCAAGTTAGTCTTCAAAGAGACAGGGAGTCATTGCAAAATTTTAATTATTCTTTTGATACAGGTACTGTTTTTTAAATCAAGTTTCTATTCTTTCAAATTTCCACTGGTATGTACATCTTAAATATTGATGACTTTCCCTATATTAATTACATTGTATAATTATGTGCATGCAGTCATTAGAGATGCCTTTTACTCCATATTTACACTGACTTTCTTTTATTTTTTAAGTATATTTTTATTGATTTTAGAGAGGAGGGGAGAAGGAGAGAGAGAGAAAAACGTAATTGATAAGAGAGAAACATGATCAGCTGCCTCCTGCATGCCTCCTCCTGAGGACCTAGACTGCAACCCAGGCATGTGCCCTGACTGGGAATGGAACTGTGAGCCCCTGGTTCATAGATCAGTGCTTAAGCATTGGGCCACAAGGCTGGGACTGGCTACATTGACTTTCTAAAAACACAGTAGATCAGATTATTTGAGGGCTTAAGCCTAAGCCTATAGTTTTACATGGAAACTATAAAAGCTGCATGCGATATTTTCTATAACATATCTGCCTTGTGGAATTTCTTCTTAGTGTGTTGGATGAGTTTCCCTATATTTCTCAAGTATCTCTCTCAGTAGGAGAGTTTCTATGTTACATTAAAGTGATAGTCAGTAGAAAATAACAGACATGGAGTAAATATTACAGTTCATTCGCCAAAGTAAAATGCATTGTTTCAATGTAGTTTGGATCTGAGTTCCTGGGCTTGCTACTTTCTCTCTCGAGATGTTAACAAATATAAAATAAATAATTTAATTCACATCTTGAACATCCATGGGAAATGTGTGGATTTGGGTTGGAAAGTCTATGTTGTTAAGGTGGTGAACTAGTTGTGTTGTGGAAGATTCACCCTTCTGAAGCCTGTTGAAGTCTTCCAGTGCAAATGTCTTTAAGAATTTGAAATTGCTTATACAGGCCATCGGGGAAATGTTACCAAAGTTTGAAAGAGAGGGTGAGCGTTTTAAAGTTTAGCCTGATAACAGAATGTTTTACCAAACAAGACTTTATCTGGGAGTAAGCAGTATGATTTTACCCTAAGGTAATGGGAAGCAATTACTATAATGAGGTTTAGTTAATAAAATATGAAATTGTGTCTAAGCTAATCACTACCATCATCATCAAATTTTATTTTTCTTTATAGTTTACAAATGATTCACAACATTGAAATCACTTAAAGAAAGCCCCCCACATCTTTCACTGCTCAGAGGGGAAGTTATGCTCAGGGGTCTCAACGACCTTGCCCAGAGCTATGTGGCTGCCTAGTAACGAAAGGCAGGGCTTAGACTCAGGACCATTGGAGATGTTTTAAGTGCATCGCCCCGTATAACCACAATGGCTGCAGAGGGCACCTAGCAGAGAGGCTGTGGGAAACAAGCCAGAGGCTCCAGGTGAGCACTGGAAGAATGGACAAGGGGGTTGAGACCCCTGAGCAATTACAAGAGGGAATTCCTGAAGCTCTTGGCTTTCCAGTCACCTTTCCAACATACAAACCTTGTAACCAAGGATGAAGGGAGTGGAGAGAATGAATGACCAGGAGAGAAAGATTAATTAGTTGTTTCTATTGTTTAGGAGACCCAGAAGCCATTTACAGTTATGTTTTCATCCCAGCTTCTGCAAATCTAATTACTTTCAGGAGAACTGCCTATTTTCACTTTATTTTCCAAAATCCCTTTAAAATGATAGAAGTGATGCCTCAAGGTTGCTAAATTGCTTTCTACCAATGGATAATTTTATAAAAAGACTCTCTCCCCACTCACCTAACTGTATGCTAATTAATAAATGCAATTTAAAGAAAGCCTTTTAAGGAATTTAACAGTGTCATCACTGTTTGGATTAATGACATATTGGTAGGAGGTAGTAGTATAATAGTTGTTGTTGTTTATTAAAGTACTCAATTTGAGAGATAATTTGTTGCATATATACTCATTTACAGATAAAATCCAGAACTGCATATTCTAACCAGACCCATTCTTTCTGTGATCAGTTTAAGCATTTTGCATTTGTTTAACAGGAAACCTTTTTCTCATGCTAGTTTATTATAAGCAAATTTTACTTTATATATATATATATATTAACATAATGCTTATGTTATAAAAATCAAGTTGCAGTAGGATATTTTTATACTGAGTCTGCAAATTTTATTTCCTACTAATGTTTAAAGGAATTATGTCAAGGAAGCATAAAAAAGTTTACATTAAAATGTAAAGTCATTTGGAAGAAGAAAAATTGGAGAAATTATAAAAGATTAATTCAAAAATAAATAAATGAAAAATACATATCCTTCTAGTATTTATCAGAATGGTTTAAAAATAAGTGGACTAGAAGTGGTTGTGTTGGTGGTTTTGATATTGTAACATTTTTATATGTTGTTATACATTTTTAGTTTTTAGTTTCAAAATTAAGAAAACTGTATGGATATTTTTTAAATGAAAAGTACCAAACTACTATTAAAGGTTCTCAATATATTCTCTTTACCAAACAACATATGTAATTAATAACTAAATAAACCACTTATATTTTAAAATTAAATGGCAATTTTCATTGATATTTATTGTATATATGCACATTTTCATACTAACTTAGTCACAATTTAATAACAATATAACATTTATTCTGAAAATATAAAAATGTGATGTTTTATTTGTTATATAGAATTTGGTATCCAGATCTATTAGCCTATAAAATGCATTAAATATTTTCAAAACCATAAGTCTCAACTAGATTTTTTTTCCCTCTTTTTCCTCATATTTAGCAGCTTTCTTAGCAATATAGTGGCTGTTAAGGATTTAAAACCTGTACTCAGACACAATGGAAAGGAATACTGTGATCACTTAATAATGTTGACATGAGTGTGCTGGGTTGAATTATGTTCAGAAATATTCCTTCCCTCCATTAGCTTCCCTGGGAGGGATATATTTCTACCTCTTGACTTTGGGGCTCATCATGTGACCTGCTTTCACCAATAGAGTGAGTCAAAATGGCACTGCACCCTTGATAGATCTGGATATTAAATCTAGACTAGAGATGAGAGACTGTTATGTTGCTGCTTGCTCTCTCCCACTTCTGCCACCACCAGGAGATGAACTGACAAATGGATGAACAAGCCCAGATGTTCAGTTGACTTCCAACAGACAGGTGAGTTCTATAAATGCTCATTTTTAAAACACAATAACGAGTGTTGCCCTACCCAGTTTGGTTTAATGAATAGAGCATCGACCAGTGGACTGAGGGTCTGGGGTTCAATTCCAGTTTAAGGGTACATGCCTGAGTTGCAGGCTCGATTCCCAGTAAGGGGCATGCAGGAGACAGCCAACCAGATTATCTCTCATCGATGTTTATATCTCTGTTTCCTTTCCTCTCTGAAATCAATAAAAATATATTTTAAAAAATAATGAGTTTTGAATCTTTTTATTGTACACCAGTTGGTAACCAAGTGTGGCAGTGTTGGTATATTTGCCCTCACAGTCTAGGATGTAAAGCAAAATACTTCTGAGAAATGTTGGTCAGGGCAATGATCCTGAAGTGCTAGAGAAATAAAATGGTTTCTGTACCCTCAGTGTTTCTCTTTCTTTCCTTACCCATCACAGCCCGCAACACACAAACATTTTGGAACCTCATTGGATTTGCATGTGCCAAGAAAATCTTCAAAGACTGATGCCCACATACAAGTATTATTAATACCATCTCTGTGAACTCTATAGTTGCGGGAATTTCCTCAGGCAATGTATGATCAGACACTAGGATAATGAAAGTGTAAGAAGAAAAAGATGAATTGCAGTTGCATATAGCCATTTGTGCCTCAGCAACACAGAAAGACATGTAAAGAGAAGTTCCAACTCCATCACCATCTTTTAAAAAAAAAAATTATTCATTTTTTACAGAGAGGAAGAGAGTGGGATAGAGAGTTAGAACCATCAATCAGAGTTTCAAAATTAAGAAAACTGTATCGATATTTTTTAAATGAAAAGTACCAAACTACTATTAAAAGTTCTCAATATATTCTCTTTACCAAACAACATATGTAATTAATAACTAAATCACTTATATTTTAAAATTAAATGGCAATTTTCATTGATATTTATTGTATATATGCACATATCCTCATATTTAGCAGCTTTCTTAGCAATATAGTGGCTGTTAAGGATTTAAAACCTGTACTCAGACACAATGGAAAGGAATTAGCTGCCTCCTTCACACTCTATGGGGATGTGCCCGCAACCAAGGTACATGCCCTTGACTGGAATTGAACCTGGGACCCTTCAAAGGCCAGTGCTCTACCCAACGAGCCAAACCAGTTAGGGTCCATCACCATCTTTATGACAGAAAGGAAGGTCTACAGGATGTTCAGGCATGAAGTGTGAAGTCTTCCCTAGAGAACGTTCAGGCCTGAATTGTGAGACTTCCCTCAGTACATATGTTCACAATGCTTACTCAGTAGGAAAACTTTGGGGTGAATGGTACTCAGTATGAGTTCGACCTGACTGGAGCCAGATTGTTTTTCTGTTCCCATCTGAAATATTGGAATCTTTGATTTCTAAAGATGTCTTCACAGCTGAAATGCATTATGCAAATGTATTCTCTACTTAGTGAGGATGCTACCAAACAATCTGAACAGTTGTTAAAACATCTGGGGCTGTTTAGCAGCATGGATAAACCCTGGATTGTCTAGTGCAGTTTTTCCCCCCTTCCAGTTTAACCTTAATTAATCCTAGCATGGTCTCTGTGAGGTAGGTCTTTATAAACCTTGTGATAGGATGATTAAAAATGGCAGATGCAGAGAGTAAAGGCTCATGATCACCCAGACCAGAATTTCTGCCTCTATTTAGGACCATTTTTCAGAGAAGTAGATTACAATGAGGAGGGACTGTTCTTTACTTAAAGGTTTTTTGTGTGTGTATGTGTTTTTTTAATCTGATTTAAATCTACATCCAGGATTTTACCTGGATGCATTCCATCATTTTCCATTTTGCAAAATTGCAGTGAAGCCCAGAGGCAAAGTTTCCACAAGGCAATCCTACTGATCCTTTTGACCCAAGTGGAGGCATGATTTGAGATTCCACATGGAGGCCAATTTTTAAGAATTTCCCCTAGTCTGTAGACTATAATAATTGGGTTATTTGGATAAGGTTTGGCAAAGCATCTAGTAGATTAACTGAATGGGGTTTCTGGAATGTTGCCATTTTGGAGCTATCCATTTTGTTCTTTGTTCTACCTCATTATAAAATGGACTAGTGAAATTGGTTGGTTTGTAGGTAAGTCAGGTTTTTTCTTTTATTATTTCCCATTCTTTACATCTGAGCCCTTAATTTGGTTGAAAGCAAGCTCTTCAGGCTAAGTGGATAACAAAACATCCCTTTGAGGAGGAAATAGATGATAAAATCTGTATGTTACTAATTTTTTTCAATAGTTTGGAGGAATTTCTTTCTCATCCTGTGTGTGTTTTTAAGACCCTGTTAAGTTCATAGTTCCTTTTTCTTTCCTTGTTTGAATAGAAAATAATTCTCTTTAATCTCCCCTGAGTTTTTAAAATGAATTGAACTGCCCAGTTCAGGAATTCAGTTGCCTGTTTTACTGAATGGAGGTATGTATGACCTGATAGTAAAAGAATGCTATTCAAAGACATTTCCGCCTGTTTGTGTCTTGGATCAGTTACTGTTCACATAAAACTGGAAAAAAGCCAAAATATGTAAACAAATTAGGAGTTTAGAGAATCCCAGTGGGAATATCCACAAATTCCACCATAAATCAGGAACTTCAGATAAGTGCAAGATGCTTTAATAAGATAGCAAGGAGAAGGAACTATAGACCAAATATTCTTGGCTCTGGTTTGGGAATCTTAATGGATATTAAAAGATTTGGGTTAATTATAGGGTTATACATAATACTACTTTTCCACAAATCTCTATATGTTGCCTAACTGGAATTTTATTTTTACTTTACTAACTTTTAATTTATGCTTAATATCAAACAGCCCTTAAACTCTGAAAACACTGTTTTATATCCTTTTAGTACTATATATATATAGTACTAAAAGGATATAAAACAGTGTATTTATATAATTTATATATATAAATTATATATATATATAATTTATTCATTCTTATCATTAATGACAAATTAGTGATTCTCTTTGCATATTTATATAAATCTGTGAATAAGATGGGGGCATTTTGATATATTGAGGATTTTCTTCTATATCTTTTTTGATAGGAATCTCTTCTTGCAACTATTTCAGCATATGGGTTTAAAATTGGGGTCTTTTTATTGTCTTTGACTCAAAGTTCAAATTTAAATATAAAACTTCCTCTTGAGAAAGACAACCCATAAGTTTAATTTCACTATTATGATATCTTTATTAATTCCTCTTGATTGTATGTGTATAGAAAGAAAATGTAGAGAAAGAAAAAACTATGTTTTTCATGTCAAAATTTTCTTAAAATACTTATTCTAAAAAAATTGCATTGTAAGCTTGTGTTTCATATGCAACTACAAGAAACAAGAGATTAAGTATTACTGATTTATCAAAGTGTATTTTAAAATAAGGGAAATGAAGAAAATATACATATTTATATGTAATAAATGCATATTCATACATAATAATTATACATATTAATCTTCATTGGCAATGCAGATCACACTCCGGCTCTGCACTGGGACTCATTTCTTGCTCTCACCCAGAATATGTCACCTGTTCTCTGTTGGTTCAATCCCCATTCTTCCTATAAAATCCATTCCTATTTCTTTTGGACTGGGATACCTTCCCTGACCTCTCTTTATTTGGATAGGAAGTAGATGGTATAAATTCACACCTTAAGACCTAGTTTACATGCTAATTTCTCTACCATCTTTTCAGTAGAAGGACAAACACAGAATCTCAATTTACCCTGGCTGCTCTTCAAGGCCTAGTAACACTCTGAACTCACAGTGAACATTTTGTAGACACCTGAAACTAATTCGGTGGGGATGAATCATGATTCACAGGAAATGTTTGTCTCCTTGTGAATAGGGCAGAAGTTACTTTTCTTATCACCTTTACCATCTAGCCCTGCATTAGAGGCTTAGGCATTGAGTTTCATTTCATCTAATGTGTAACCTAAATTGTACAATCTCTTCATAATGTATGCTACCTCTTTTGATAATTTTACTTCATAGGCCCTCTTATAGCAAGTGCCTAAATGTATAGGAATTTAACAGTATTCTCACACAAGGAAATGGAAAAG